CCCTTCCTCATGCTTTAATGATCAAATGCCCCCTGGTGGTTCAAATAAGTCATGTGCATTTGTTCTCCTTTAACTGCCACTGCTTTTCATGCAGCACTTATTGAGTTTCTTATCTTTTATCAAAGCATAATAATTGCCTGAATGCAACATCTTTGGTCTGTAACAGGGGGATTCAGCCGAGGCATGAGTACATATGCCTAAATATAGTTGAAGAAGTGTTCCCGAGTCAACCTACTTAAGCACAACTTTGCCATAGTTTCACTTATTCTACCTTTTATTTCCACCGCCCGTGGTTTCTGAGGACACTGCACTGCAATGACTACTTCTTAAAATAAGCTCCTATAATAGGTTGTGTCTCCTGTTGTGCAAAAGTGAAGCCAAAATACTTCCTTTTACAGACACTGACATCTTGCACTGGTGAGCAAAGATACTCAGGATAATTTTGGGCTTGAGTCCTCTTACGATAAAAGTAAACAAAGATCAGATTGGCATGATTATATAAGAGCACGGTAGATCTGGTAATAAAAGAACCAGACCAAAATATTATGAAAGGGAGGCGTTTCACAGGCATATTCAACACCCCTGAGATTCACATGGGAGTGAATTGATCTGCCGTTGACCTGCCTCCATTCATACGTGAGTGGAATCGAGGCGTTGGGGGTTTTCTCGTCATTTTTTCATGATGTGGCGTAAGGTGTGCTTTTCAACTTATTTTATCCTGCTGTTTCTGAGCAAACTTGACCCTTCGACAGCTTCGAGGTCCAGTAAATGTGGCGCGTTACATTCGTGTGAAAAATCCTGTACTTCACTGGACCGTTGTGAGCGCATGTTGACCTGTAAGATTATAGACCCCCCTACTTTTTCACAGGTATTTCAAGTGGAAATAAAGTCTTCCCACTGAGCAATATTCAGTCTAAAAGACATTTTATAGACGTCTAATGTTCCTTAGAAGTCTGGGCTAAAATCTGTCTACCACTAGTCTACTTATAGACTAAACTAAACTGTACATTGATCAATGACTGTTAAAAATGTTTAATCCAACATTTGGCCAACATTTTACAATTTACAGTTGTTTTTAATTTAATATTAAATAATTGATGGATTCAATTAAATTGTCTAAATCTGGGCTAAAATATAGACCGATTATAGACGGGTGAATTTTCTGTCTAAACTGAGACGAGACGTTGTTTATACAACCCAACTAAGGGTTCCCAATAACTTTTATTTATTTATTTTTATTATTATTATTATTATTATTATTATTTATTTATTTATTTTATTATTATTTTTAGTATTATTATTTTTATTATTATTAATAATTATTTAATGAAATTAAGGTAAATTATCACATTATCACTATTGTGTAAGATTGTAAAAGTTATTTATTACAATTCAAAAGTCACAGAAGACACAAAAATAATTTAGTGTTTTTTCCTCAGTGGACATTGTATTATCTGTCGGACAACTCCAAGTAACGTCAGGAAATACTCACAAACGTAGACTCTGCTTGGGAAGATGAATCAACTCATTATCATGGGACATTAAACATTATTTTTGCTCTGATAACCTGCTCAGTTTACGATCAGTAAAGTCCATCCTTCATCAGTGTTTTACTGCTTTCTTTTTAAAACCGCTTTATGGTGCTCAAGCGTAAGTTATCATGCTTTTTATTCCACCGCTGTATAAATATTTTTAAGTGTATTTCATGCCACCCACAACAGCCTGGATCGAGACCCGAGGCGTTATAGTAAACTTTGTTCTGTGAGCGAGAAACACACTTTGGAGGATAAAGGTTTAGAGTGGCCTAGTTTGGGGGTAGAAGCCATTATCGTCGTAAAACATGTTTTGTCTCTGCAGTGGAGTCCGCTGGGAGAAGCTGTGCGGGGGAACGGTCACAAACTGAATGCCTGGATCAATACTTTTTCCACATGAGACGCATAAAGCCAACAAGGGACATTTCCCACTGTGAGTAAGTGAACATAAAGGGGACGACAGATCAACCATATCAGGGGATGTACTCCCCAGAGAGACCATCCAACGTCAGAACAAAAGAAAATCAGCTTTTTATGTAAGAGAGCCTGTAAAATCGGAGCTGAGATCCATCAATCACCTTGGGCATTGACACACCCATCATCAGAGAGCAAACACGGCCGAGCAGCGAAACCTTAGAGCCTCTAAAGTAGGACATCAACTATTCATTCTGTTGTGATACGCCAACACCTACCAGGTGTGAGACGCGGCGTACTGATTTCCACCTGACTCTCCTCCCCCGGCTTGGTTTTACAGGAATCACGGCCGGCTGTGAGGCCAAAGAGGAAGAAAGAAGAAGAAGAAGTCCGGCCTCTGAGAGAACGCCCTGAGGAAAAACTGGGTCCATGAATACTTTATGAAGGTATTCCAGTCGGGGGATAATTCTTCAGCTGTTTCCTGAAGCCGGTGACAAGCGAGGAAGACTAAAAGGGATGGGTGTCGTTTTTAAAAATTAATCAGTGTTGTAGCGTATTAATTGTCCTCTCTTTAATGGCTTTGTTGTAGAAATGACACAGCAGGAAGAGGACTTCACCAGTTATCTATCCAAACAGCTTGTTCTTTCAGGTCTGTACTCAGAGTTAAAAGCAGCACTTAGTCACAAAGGCCGTTTAAAGATTGTAAATAGTTGACCATGCTAGAGGGGAAGGATTAAAAATAAGTTAAGAATTTTAATTGTTTGCCAATGGAGTTAATTGACTTGTTTAAAGTTACATCCTGGCATTAGCAGCAGCTCGAGGCATGAGAATTAAAAATAATGAGATTAGTTTATGCTGCGTTCTAGTCGTACTCAGAAGTCGGGATTTCCGAGCTCCGAGTCGGAAATTTATCTAGAACACCCCCCTGAAGTTGGACGATCCTCACCAACCTGACTTGACGACAACATCATAATCCAAGATGGCAGCAACAATTAAGAGTAACAGTAAAAACTCTCGTAATGTTTTATTTATTAGAAACACGAATGCTACACGATAAACACGATGCTATTGTGTTTGTAAGAGTAAAATACAACAACTAACAACCGCTGACAATGGCAAACAACAACTGACAATGGCTAACGACAGCTGACAATTGCTAACTGTAGGCATCCATCTTGGTTTTCCGACTTGTTAACTGGAATGACGTCACACCTGAGTTGACGGCATGTTTGTAAGAGTAGAATACTGTGTCAGGCGTTGTTTACAACTAGTATAGCTAACAACAACAACGGCTAACAACAGCTGACAAATGTAAACAACGGCTAACTGTAGGCATCCATCTTGGTTTTCTGACTTGTTAACTGGAACCCCGTCAACTTGGGGGTGACGTCATTCCCAGCTCAGACATCTGACTTCTGGTAATAATTCTGCGTTCTAGTTACCTCAGAAGTCCCGCCCTCTCTTGATTTTGATTGGTCTGTGCGGGTAACTATAAAAAACAACAAACACTGAGGGTCTGAAAACACTGACCTGTCTTGGTTTTGCATAAAAGAAAGAATCTTGATGAATGGACACAGGCCCTTATTCTTTAACCAAAACCTGCACTGTTCACTGAAAGCCTCGATTTCCCACACTTTTATGTACATAAAAAACACCAGACTTAAAATGGACTAAAAAGAAGAGAGAGTGTTAAAAGCCACCAAACCAAAAGCCAGATAGTAGAATAATCAGTAATTTATTGGAGTGTACAAAAGAAGAAGACACAACAGCCCATGTTTGGTCAAACACACTCATACACTCATTGTTATTGATCCTGATCTCCTGCTTTTTCCCACCTCTCACTCTTGAAGTTCCAGCTTAAAAACATCACTAATACACTCATAATGAACCACATGAAATTGGCAGTAATCCATGAACCTACCCAACCCAGAGAAAGCAGCTGTTTTGTTGTCCACCCCCCAACACACAACCCACATGCACACAAACACACGTTCACAGCGAACATCCTGCGGATTCTTAACCACTGAAATGACACTGGGCTCACATCCAAGATTGCATTGTATATTGCGTGCATTAGAAGTCTTGATAAAATGAGATTGCAGAGTTACAACAGTCGATATAAATACAGTTAACTGACTTTGTTTGATGCATGACTTTGTAGTGTACAAGGATAAACTCAGAAGTGAACAACAGGCTGACAAACTTAGAGAACTGTTTTAGCTGCATGTTTTTGTTTTTATGGTGATTTTGTTCCAGTCTCAACAAGCTAAACATTGCAAAGTCTGAGAAATTGAGTTGCATTGGTTTGTAATGATGTTGTTATTGTGGCTGTAGCACCAGTTAGACTCTGAATTATATAATCTATCGTGAGCTGACTGGTGCACTGATTTGATTTGATATTAGCAGTTTTATGGCACCTCATTCCCGGGGTCGTGTAAATATGGTGAGCGTGTCTGTTTTCTTGCAAAACAGGGGGAGTTGGTGGATTGTCCAACACTTCTTTGGTTTTAAATGATTTCAACAGATAATCAACAGTCAAAATAAAAAAAAAGATTCAAGCATGAGGACTAATGGTTCAACATTTTGGGAAATGCATCCAACGACGTTTTGCAAACAAACTCTATCAAGTCGAACTAACTAACAACCAGCATGAGATGGTAGGTGTCAGCTGAGTGGCGAAAGAAACAGCCCTGATTTTATAATTTTCACATTTCGTATCAGACAATTAAAGGAAACTACTCTTTCATGTTGAGATCATGATAAGCAATGACTGATTTGTCCACAGGGGGCGCCAAAGTTGACAGAAATTCAATGTTCTTCACAGGCGCTTTAAGTATTGACACAAAATTAGCAAACTTAAGAGATCTGGTTTTCACAGATTGGTGTTACAGTAACTTCCTGAGTAATCATCCGAGAGTATATTCTAAAATGTTGAACCATTCCTTTGACATTCACCAAAACATGCATCAGTTGTACAAAAATAAATGAAATTGAAACAAGAGCCTCAAGTCTCCTCTGAGTGTTGTTGTTTTTAACCTGGGTAGCTGTTTGGTTTTAGTTGTGGTTGTTACAGCGGCTGTAGTAGCTAAATATAGTGTTGTCTATCCACCTGCGGTACTTGGCCACAGCTGCATACACTCCAGGGTATTGGGCCTCCCCGCATCCTCTGCCCCAGGACACAATGCCGTAAACCCGGCCTTCACACACCAGTGGACCTCCAGAGTCGCCCTGAAAGAGAAGGGAAGAAAACATCAGGGATTACATTGTGGTAGTATTAAAAAATCAGATGCAAATGCCAAGTTTTGAGAGGTTAATGAATTTCCTTTTACCTGACAGGCATCTTTTCCACCTATACTGTAACCAGCGCAGAGCATGTTTTCTGTTATGTCGCCGTCAAATGACTCGCTGCTGTTGCATTTTTGCGTCGACACGATGGGGAGTTTGACAGTGCGGAGGGTGGAGGGGATCTGGCCCCCGCTCGGGCTGGTGTAGCCCCAACCCGATACTCGACACATCCTGCCCTCCGGTATCGTAGCACCGTGCCGCGGCAACAAGGCGATGGAAACGTAGCTATTCAAATAAACTGGGGCTTTCAGCTGGAAACGTAGCGGACATTTGGATCAGTGGTAATACAATTAAAAAAACCATCATTGGTTATAAGATATCGTACCTTTACGAGCATAATGTCATTGTTGTTGGTAGTGCTGTTGTACTCGGGGTGAGGAACCACAATTTTGGGCAGGATTTCTTGCTCTGTGCCCTCATAGATGGACAAAGAATAGTCTCCTGCTACTATCAAGATGTTTTCAACCCTGCAAAGATAAAAAGTATCTTACAGTCAGACAATATTTTAAAACCAAAAGTTTTAAGTCCTGTCTTAGAGCAACTTATCTAGCCGAATAAAACATTGCAATTTAGGGTCAAACACACAGTAACACTAAGTTAGACACGCCTTTGAGAGATGAATGTTGCCGATGGCTTGCTTCTCTTGTTACACCAACTTTAGTATCAACCGCACGATAGCAATACACAACGGTCTGAGGAGCCATAAACAAACCCCAGCATTGTTACTGAACAACAAACCCTTACTGGTCCAGGTTTTGTGATTTAAAAATGCACTGTCAGAGCCCTATCTAAGCGCCGCCCAAATTAACCAAAACATGCTTGTTTCCTCTTGGGTCAAACTGTTCATAAAAAGGTGGTTTCATGAAGTCTGAGGCCAAGATATTCACGTGTCAGATTGCAGAACCACAGAGCTCCATTGTTACTGGCCGCCTTGTATCATTTTCACTCGTTTTCTTTCAATACTGTCCAAAGAGACTGTCTCTAAAACAGCTGAAACCTTTAGTAACACAAAAACACACTCAGATGTCAAGTTAAGGTCACTGTATGTCAACAGGCGTCTTATTGAAGTGCGCTACTTAAAGTTAAACCAGGATACAATGGTGCATAGATACTTTAATGTAATATTTGCTGTAAAAATAGTTTCTGCATGATGTAAATTAACCTCTATTGTCAGTAGAAGTAAACAAAAGTAGAAAAGTCAGCTCACCCGATGTTACAATGAGCGGCTGTGAGTACCCAGAACTTATTTATTAAGGTGCCTCCGCAGACGTGCTGACGCTGTGTCGTCTGTATCGACACAACATTTTTGATTAAATAAGGAACTGGTGCGTATCCTCCCACTATCCGCTCCTGCGGGTGTTCACCTGCTGGACTCACATACACACAGGGAAATAAAGAAGATTGGCTTTAGAGACAGAAGCACATAATACGGTCTATAAGGTCTCTGCAGAAAAACAATACAAAGCTTACACAGAGGTAATGCTATTATTGCAGCAGGCGCAGCATCAGCAGGGACAATGTGAGTCATAAAGAGAAGAGTTGAAATCAATGATCTCAGGACTTCTGGATTAGTAGATCAATGAAAGCAATCTCGACTGTGTGGTGAATTGATTCACAGTGAGCATAAGTCTAAATATCAATATCTATCTGATTTAACTGTTTGCAGATGACGCACTAATTTAAATTGACTGAATGCACCTTGAATTGAAGTCAACCTTGTTTTATCAGTTATATTTTTTAATGAAAGTGTCTTGTATGATATTTCTGTCTACTACTCTGCTTAGAGATAAAGTAGAACTTTATCTACAGAAATTTGTTTTTTTTGTCCCTTTTGGCACTCCTTAAGAAGGTGGCTGCATTGTCTTCCTGCTTCTTGTTTCTGTGGTTCTCAGTGATTTAAAAAGCAAATTAAACCATTAATTACAAGACTGACAATTTCTATATTGTCATTTTTAATTATTATAGCTGCTGTGAGGGGCTAGGTGCCCTGAAAAAACAACATTTGTTACTCACTATATTTGTGATAAGTGATAAATTTAAAGGAGATTTTTTTGTCAGTAAACACCACTTTACCAAAATTGGAAAAATTAGAAAAATTGGGTAAAACATTAAACAGAAAAGTAGAAAAATAGTTACTACTGTGTTCACAGGGGGCGCTAAAGTCAGCACGGACAAAAAGTTCCTTCACAAAATTAGAAAAAAATAGAAAAATTAAATAAAAAATTAAGCAGAAAATTTGAAATAATAGTTACTACTTTGTTCACAGGGGGCGCTAAAGTCAGCACGGACAAAAAGTTCCTTCACAAAATTAGAAAAAAATAGAAAAATTAAATAAAAAATTTAACAGAAAAATTGAATAAATAGTTACTACTTTGTCCACAGGGGGCGCCAAACTCAGCACGGACAAAAAGTTCCTCACAAGAGCTTTAATGCAGCTTTATTGTTGTATAATCTTAATGTTTTGTTTCTTTTACAGTTAAGTTTTGATTGTTTTGTGGCTGTTTCTTTTCTATAAGGTGAATTATCTTCAGTACTGGCTTTTTTTCTAGACTGGATATCCCACTTTATTTGCATTTTCCTAATGGAAAAGGTGCAATTTAACAAACAAGATATTTCATGAGATCAATTTTAACAGAAACATTGATTAAAGTTAGAAACCCTGACGCATATGTAATAATATCTAATCACATATTTTAAAAAAATTTATAATTGTGTTATATTATATAATACAACCTAACGTTAATTTGTTGCTGTCACAACATGCACTTATGTTTGATTTAAAATTAGCAGCGATGTTTAAACTTGCATGCTGACAGAAATGCTAATTAATATGCCCCGTCTCTGACTCCTTTAATAAATAACGAATAAAGTCTGAGTCTTAGTGCCACAGCCGAATAGAGATTTTAATAGTGCTGGTGTCACTGAGGATTAACAAGGTTAGCCCAGCCTGAGCGAGCCAGAACATGTCTCATGGCATCTGCAGACACTTTTATGCATCCAACAGGCAATCTGCATTAATTATATCATCTCTGCAGAGTTCACATGGCTGGAACTGAGGTCACATTGTCTGTGTAGTTTTCCACTGCAGTTTAATAACCCGAGGAGCTTTATACACAATGGAATACTGATTATTTTGTCAAGTAATTTATCAGCTGACTGTTATTTTAAAACTTAACAATACATAATATTTGACAGACTTTAGACCAAGGATTTAGAGGTTTTTTTTAACAGAATCATGTCCCTGGAAGTGAAGGAAAAAATCTTTAGGCTTAAACTCAAAAACACGTTCATTTCTGTGAGTGAGTCACAAGAGCCATGATAGCCAATAAGTATGATTCCCTGGTGATGACGAAAAAACATGATTTTAAGGAGACTGACTGGGACTCCTGGGGTGGTGGGTTTGGGCCTTATTCAGGACTAGGTGAATTTTAAAGTCTAGTGTCTAAACAGGAAAGTGAAAGAGGAAGCAAATGGTATAATCTTGTGTGGCTCAGAGGATAAGCCCATTGACTGGTTCTCCTGAGGTCATAGGTTCAAATCTTACCTTGTCCAGTTCTAGCAGAATTTTAAAGTCCACAAAGGACAGTGATGTCAGCAACAGACACATGGAGGTTTATGCGTCTGGAGAAAGGACAAACTGATGTGGACAGTATGCAGCTGAAACATCATGTAGGAAACTTTTCCTCTCTTGCATTAATTCATAAATTTGGACAGTCTTGCAGATGTGATATTTGACGGGAATGGAGTAAGTCTTTAGTGCGAGTCGAGCACATAACACAGAACATTCAGGTGTGCAAATTTAGCAGGTTTATGATTTAGTTTTTGTGTCTGGTGTAAAAACAACATCACAACTCTGCTTCACAAACCCAAAGTTCCCCACGGGAGCTTTTAATTCCACGTTTGAACAGGGATTTTTTTTTTTCACACTGATGAAAATGGCTAAAAGTTATCGTAATGTCTTTTTATGATACTCAAAAGCAGATTAGACCATCAGCGACAAGAATAATTATTTCTGCATAGTCATTTTAGAGGCCTGAACACACCGCTGCCTAGTAGGTGTCAGACAAACTGACAACAGAAAACATCCTGCATGTTGTAATTATTAACTATTAAATCCCAGCAAGATGAGATTCAACAGCAAAAGCATGCGACTTCACAGGAGCTTTAAATAAATTTCAATAATTTATATAAATATACGATACCTCAGAGACTGAAAGGAAGTTTACGTTCAAAGAAACGCCGCCGGGGATGAAACGATACCCTGTCATTACTGTCCCAGATATTGATCCTGGGCTACAATTAGACGCAGCGGTGCGTGTAAAGAGCTGAATGGTAACTCTATACAGTGTACACAGTATAGATTGGGTGTGAATGAGATAAACACATGCATAGAGCCGCTTCAGAAAGCATTATGTAATGACCTTGCAATTGAACCTATAATGACAGGTCCCTTTATTGTCATTGAAGCTGAAGTGAAGAGAATAGACACCACAAACCGCTGCCAGCTTTTGTACGTTATAGATGCATTAATTTTGACCGGTATAAAACAAGTTAAAAATAGTGAAAGCTCATCGTGTTACAGTATCAGCTGCTGCGAAATAGCAGCTTGTTCCTGGATGGTTAAAGATGTTTATCACGTTTCATTTTGGCAACATCATTGTCAGGTACACAAGGAGGCGTTGGCTAGAGTTATTGTTGTTTCACTGCTGGTTAGTCATCTCTTCTTCATGAGGTTTCCAATGCATTTGGAGAATAACAACAATTTATATAACAACTTTGATTTATTGGGCACCTTTTAAAAATCAAAGTTACTCTGTATTTGTACATAAAAAGTCCTTTTAATCAGCATTTCAATTTGAAATCAAGTTTTTGGTGTTAACTGTAGTGTTGGGCAGCAGGAAAATTCGCTTCTGTATAATATGAAATGCATCCACAGTCAAGTCCAGTATCCTTTATCAACATTATACAGAGTTATATAAACAAAGCAAATGGAAACTGTGCATTTTTCATAAATAAAATTGAAGAAACAAATGTTATAGCTCCCTAAAAGCAAAATAATGCGAGCCTATGGTACTTAAAATTACTTAATTGTGTGAAATGATCATATTACTGTACTTTTAAGTGTGTATTTATCTATATATTGATGCTTTTGGCGCTGAAAGCTCTATATTTACATTTAGAAAGTTAGAAAATACCAACAAACTCTCTCTGTGTTTAACTGTATTGTCCAAACAATACAAACCTAATCTTACTTTATGCCCATTTTTTCCTCTTTTTGCCAAACTAGTCTGGGTGTTATTCATGATTTAAGGTTTTAAGAAGTTCAGTGAAGTTCTGAGAGCCAAACTTAAATGTGAAGGGATCATCTTAGGGGAGCATCAGGGCTCAAAGTGCCAGGCTTTTAAAACATTCATAGAGAAGGGTTGTTAATAACATATCAGATGCTAAATCAGCCCATTTCATTACAAATTGAATTGAGGTCCTGGGAGGATAATATGTTTAACGTCAGTTTGCAGCTCAACTTTCCTGCCTAAGCAACCCAGAGGTTTAACTTCACTCACAGCTCCTTCATGCATACTTAAATAGTCAGTGTGAACACTAATATTGGCACATTAACAGTCTGTCATTTATTATGATAAAGAGCTATACTCACAGTTTACAGCCAGGACTTTTAGCAGCACACACAGCAATAAAGATGGCAGCTCCATAGCGAGACAATGGGAAGAGGCGTCTACACGCGGACAGAGAGACTTCACCTGTGTGCTACCTGTCTAATCTTAACAGGAGGACATCACACCTGCACTCTCAGGTTTCTTATAGTTTCTATTTCAGTTTCCATGGACACCAGTGTTTCCTGGAATGATATATAATTGAAGCTTTCACAACACGGCCCCCTTTTTTTTTTCTCACCTCTGCCATGACCTGCTCCTATAATTTGTCAAGTTTATGTAATCCCCCGGTTACAGGAGCCCATTTACTGTCACATAAAGGTGAAGGATACACCGTTGTTCTCGTTCTCCACGTCATGTTTCTCAACAGCTACTGTAATACTGAGTCCTTGTCACCTTTGTCATTTATTATTTGTGACTGTAGCTCTTTTATAAAGTCTACATTGAGTTATATACTTGGTTAATATGATATCTTTTATTAAATCTGATGTTATAGTCCTCTTTATGTTGGCTGAATGAGGTTAGATCAAGCTCTATAAAGAAAAAAAGGATGTACATTTTCAAAAAGTACCTTGAAATTGATGCTAAAATGACAATTTTTGTATCTGTCTGAGGGGCAAAAGAGGGCGAAGACAAAGCCTCAGTATACATCGACTGGGGATGGACATGCTTGGACTTTTCCATGTGTAATCATCCATACTGCTGAATAAAGTATAACTTAACTTCTGACATGATTAGCTGTCTGATTTTGTCTCTTTACAGGGGCGTGTCCAGCCATTTTCACAGAAGGGGCCCGTCCCAAACACTGAATCATGCAGAGGTGGCCGAAAGTATATGTGTAAAAACGCACGTCAACTTTGATCGATGACTAACATTTTTGGGTACATATAAAATTTAGCTTCCAAAAGACCAGAGTAAGGAAGTGTAAGTGACATTTTAACAAAAGTTAAAGCTCCTTTCAGTTTGTGTCAGTTTTGGCGCCCTCTTTGTACAAAGCAGTTCCCTTATATTGTAATATCTCCTGACAACAATCTCAGCGTTTTGACTTCCGAGACTCAAATTGATTATTTATCGTAAAAACGTAAATTAGGACCATCTTTGCAATAGCTCGGCTAACACCTAAACCCCCTTAATCATTTTAAAGCATCAAATATTACAATGTAAAAATCATCAGTCCTGTCACTGATGGTCTTTTTTGCTTTTAAATATCATAACGATGCTTCTAGACGAGTTTCAGTCTATTTCAATAACATCAAAAACTCCTCACAGGAGCTTTAATGCCAGAATAGCTAACATATGCCAACATGGAGAATTCAGGATTTATTTATTTATTTTAACATGTGTGTGCAACACAGGAAAGCAAACAAACAAACAAAAAACAATGAGAGTTTTCAAAATAACAATAACAATAAAACTAATCAAAGCAAAAAAAGTACTAGTCACTGCTAACAGCTTGCCACAGATGTGTGAAAAGTAACACCTACAAGCTGCTTCCACTTTGAAAAGCAGACAAAACTAAGCATTTCAAACAGTGACAGAGGTTTTCCAAGATGAATGTGGAGGTTTTTTTTAACAACAAATCATGCAAAGCTACTCTGACATAATAAAAGGTGAAAATGAGTATACTGGGTGTCTTTTAACGAAAGCTGTAAACTTCCTTTTTGCAGCTCAGCCTCATAAATAGCTCTGAACTCACCATAAAATAAGGAATACAGATCCTTCTGGTGTGTAAAACACAGTCTGCTTTTGGAGGTCTCACTGAGGGAACAAAAAAGTTGTTACTGTCTTCCTCTGCGATGATACCCAAAGTTTACAACTTGCAGTTTATTTGCAGCTGTGTGACTCTTTTTAGAACCATCTGTTCTCACCATGTGGAGAAGTGCACATCCTGCGAGCGACTGTTAAGCCTAAGGTTACACCGATATCTGTTAGTGAAAGACACACTGCCCACGAGTGATTTCGCCTGTACTCACCACCCACGTCTCCAACTGAGGAGTCTTCCAGCTCTCTGCAAGGTTCATTTACTGAACAGCAGTGAGCCGTGGGTGCAGCTGCACAGGCATTCATGTCAGTGTGGGTTTGTAGTGTCAATCTTTAGGGGGGAAATACTGAAAAAAAATTACATTTCCAATGATGGCACCAGCCACTGCTACTAGTATAGAAAATAAGTACACAAAGTTTAGGACCAAGAAGTGACACCTTAAGTGGTAAATTTACGGTGGCAGAGAACTGCCACTGCTGCAAATAAAAAAGAATGCAAAAAAAAGGGAACCACAATGGAAGTTATCGATGCAAAAAAAGAAACCAAAGCCTGTTGCAAATTAAAAAAAGAGTCGTGATGCAAAAAAAAGTTACTTAATGCGAAAATAAAAGGATGCAAATCTTAAAAAAGCCTCAACAGAAGTTACCGATTCAAAAAAAGAAGTACAGAAGCCAAAGCCTGTCGCAAATAAAAAAATAACAGTGCAGATTTTTAAAAACAGGCAACAAAGAAAGTTAACGACGCAAAAAAAGTGGCAATGCAAAAAAAAGGTTTACTTACTGCGAAAATAAAGGGATGTAAATGAAAAAAGCACAACAGATGCTACAGATGCAAAAAAAAGAAGCTGTAGCCTACTGCAAATAAAAAAGAAACAGTGCAGATTTTTCAAAAAAGCCACGACGAAAGTTAACAACGCAAAAAAAAGTGGTGATGCAAAAAAAAAAAAGTAGAAGCCCGCTGCAATTAAAAAAAAAGAAACTGTGCAGATTAATAAAAAAAAAAGCCACAACAGAAGTTAACGACGCAAAAAACAAGTTGCTTTACTCATAGAAATTAGTACGCAAACCCCTCTTTTTTTTTTTTTTTTTTTTTTTTTTTCCATTTTTGGTCCCCGGCAGCTCACTTCTGTTGTGGCTTTTTTTTAATTGCATCCTGTTTGTTTGTTTTCTTTTTGCCCACCACTTTTTGTTTTCATTGTTACCTTCTATTGTGGCTTGTTTCTTAGCTGTACTATTTCCTTCTCTTTTTTCTCATCAGAACTTTCTGTTGTTGCTTCATTTTTTGAATTCTTTTTTATTTGCAGCAGTGGCGGTTCTCGGCCACCGTATAAATTAGCTCTCCGTAGGTTGGGGTCCTTGTCTGTTTCAATGTTAAGTTAAGTACTTGTAGTTTTTAAATCACTGCTCGGATTGTAACCTGCCAAGAGACTACAAACGATGATTATATTTGAGCTCCCGCTGACACAATTCATCAAACAGCAGTGTCAGAGTTTTTTTCCACAGAACATGAGAAGAGAAGTGACGTGACTGTTACTCCTAATGTGGATCAAACGGGCCGCCGTCGTCCTAAATGAAAGAGATACAGTCGGAGGTCTTCAATCATTATAAAGTCTGCTCTCGCTGTACTCCCCGGGAAGCTTTAATGAGGGATTTGACTGATGACAAGCAGCGAAACCTTCTCTCTCTGACCCAGGTCAAAGCAGCTCTTCTGCTCCACATCCACTCTAGTTCTGGTGTGTCATTAAAAATGGAGCAGAGCGCAGGCAGGTCTCATCACTGCTACCGGCCCTCTATGGAGTTCCTGACCTCAGCCGGCTAATCGCCCTCTCTGGTGCCCTCCCTGCTACTGATAGCTTTACTCTCGGTGCCTCTCGCATCCCCTGAGTGCTGACCACTGACTTTTTCCATGTGACCCACTCCCCGGTCCAAGTGCTGTCTTTATTACACATGGCTGCCAGATCCCCTGTCTGGCCTCGGGATGGAAAATCATCGCCAAAACCCCCAGAAACTTCTTACTTTTTCTTGTTCAGATGATTTAATGTCTGTGAGCGTGGCGGTATTTGATTTTAATTAAATCTGCAGGACTTAACAAAGATTATAAGCAAAGCTAATCAGGGCTGACACATTTCTTGTATGCTTTCAAATGTGAGTGTTGCATGTGTTGTTTTTAATTAGCGACAGTGGAAGAATAACAAAACTGAAGGCTGTTAAAAATATCTTATTCATGACACGACGGTCCACCGATAACCTTGGTTTCTCTGTCGCTGTGATGCTCGTATAACCCTCGACACGACTCTTACAATCTCGAATGACTCAGCACATTTTGGAAAAATCGAGCGTAGGTCCCCCCTCGGTATCAGGGATCTGCCCTTGTTGACTCTTGTTTTTTATAGGTCCTGGTCACATTCCCATTTGGCCATATGGGCTTAAGCTGATAACATCCTGACATTGTTTTCTGCTTTCTCACTGCGAGTGCTGGTTGGAGTTTGGCGCGAGTCCTGACAACACGGGAGTGCCAAGAAGAGGCGATGCCAGGGAAGATCTGAGTCGACTCAAACAGCGTGCACGGATAATCCAGTCAAGAGATTACACACGAGAAATCTTGTTTGAGGTGGTCAATTAACCCAACAGTTTCAGAAAATTAGGTGTAAAACTCAGATTTGTCCATGTAATAGTTGCATGCAAATATAGTAATGGGAATCACCGATGCTCTGATAAAGAAAAGGGTGAAATTATCAAAGATCTTGTGTCTGAAGTGTAAATTTCCACTCAGTAATTATGCAACATCTATACCAAGTGTGAATATTTTACCAGCTCCTGCAGGGGGATAAGCTTCGCCCCGAGGCCTGAGGTGAATTAGCTCGGTCCGAGCAGACGTGTGGGTGTTGTTTCCTGGTGATTTCCTGCAGGCTGTCACTGTAAAGAAGGAGCTGAGCCTGGAGGTGAGGAAAAAGTGCTGCTCCTCCCTATTTCATAGGACCCAGAAGAGGTGATTCAGGCTTTTAATCTGGATTCTTCCGGATAACTCATGGCCTTGTCACCCCCCAGTGGAAATACTTCAGGAGGAAGAAGAGGAGGCGAGCAACACCAGGGCCGATAAGGATTCAGATTGTTGTTCATTTTTGCTGTTTGTATTTAGTTATTTTTCAGACAGAATATAAGGAAATGGTGCCACAAATTATGATTTATTTATTGATTGATGGTGAGGATGGCGCTGTGGAGAATCTCTACAAAAATGATGATTGCACTTAGCATGATTGGTAATACTGATGTCTAACAATACAGAGGTTGTGGGTTCGAATTCCAGCATTGACCCGTTTGTTTAGAGCAGGTATGACCTGGCTGCTACCACAGAGGTCTGGACTCAATGAAAGGTTTCAAGGTTCAAGACCACTACAGAGTCTAGAAGGAAAACCTGAACACCCATCTGTGAACTTTATCAAATCAAGCATAAAAGTCATAAAGAAACATTACTGGTTACAAACTCTTTACGGTTTGTAATGTATGCTGTAGCCAGCCACCAGGGGGAGCTCTTGCAGTTCAGGCTTCCACGTGTCGTATCATAGACTGTATATACTATGGACAACTTGGTTCCGCCTCTTGTCATTTTATGGATTTGAAGCCGAAAAGCTCTCGGTAATTCCGCGTTTTCTCTCCATTTCCTGAAACCAACATTGTGCAGTAGCATTGTGTGCATTCGGCAGGAGAGTCGCTCTAATAAAGAGGATAAGAGGACTAATAAAAGGACTTGAGCACAAACTAGTCTTACAATAACTACATGTCAACATCACAAGCAGGGGGGAGAAAAATTTATATTCTGTGTAATAAATTTCTAAAGTTTGTCCACAGCTCCATAGGGATTGCTGGTGGAGGCGGGATTTATGACCTATACTGCAGCCTGTCACCAGAGGGTGCTGTTCTCCGAGGAGGCTGACTCTGTCCATTCTATTTACAGTCTATGGCCTGGACTCAATGAAAGGATTGGAGGTTCAAGACCATAGGCCTGTACTACGAAGCTGGATTAACAAATCCAGGATAACTCTGCGACAACTCGCTCAACTTCACCGGCTCTCCGCGATCCCGATCAGCTGTACTACGAAGCAGGATATCAACTCGATAACTGAATCCAGTTCAGATCTGTGCGCGCACACGTAAAGGGGGTCGGGTCAGTGCCACCGGACCAATCTCCACAATGGAGAAGGCTGCACGTCATTTTTCACAGCTGAAGAACAGAGCTTTATTTAAACAGTGAGACAGACACAGCCGCTAAAAGCCGGAGGGACTGCCGGCAAAAAAAATCACCGGTTGTGTAAATTACATTTGTGCGTTCATAAATTTATGGCCCCCTAATATATTGTCATGCAGCGTGTGTGATCACCACCATCACTGACCTCATTATTTCAGATACAACAGCAGTGGGGAAAAGAGTACGTGGGAGCAAATAAAAATAAATCTAAAAACATCCTTTAAAGTAGTTTGTAAGTTCATTGGAAGATTTTATTTGTACATATTTCAACGCGTAAACAGTGATTTCCTCACACTGCCTTTTTTTTTTCTCCATCATCTGATGGTCACATGTCATCTGCAGACACATTTGGGGTTAAGAGTTTTCTTATCTGCTTCAATGAATTCTGAAAGATGACTAACAAATTTGAACCTGGAGCTTGGCAAATATTAGTGTATTGCTTAGACTTCTTGCTACCTGAATATTGAGGCCGTCCGAGGAAAACCTGTAACGTTCATAGAGAACGTCATCAGGTAAATCAAACGGATTTGAACGATCATGAATATAACGCTCTCGGCGGAGCGCTCCTCTCACTATCCGTGCAACGATGTCCCCGGGATCCGGCAAAAGTGGGCAAGCCATTTTCCAAGAGATCCGATTGGTCATCGGGCGGTTTTTTATACCTGCTGAGATCTTATCCTGAAACATAACCTGCTCCGGAGCAGATTTGGCGTTCCGCGTAAGTTACCGGGGCAACGGACCCGGATAAAAAGAGATCCACCTTCGTAGTACAGAAAACCCAGAAGTCATCCAGAAGTTATCTCGCTAAGACCAAATCCAGCTTCGTAGTACAGGCCTCATGACAGAGCCAATAAAGGAAATCTGAACGCTCATCTTTGCCGACCTGTGGTTTTGAACTTGATCAATTAGAGAGTAAAAGTCAAAAAGAGGCGTTACCAGTTACAAACTCCACACAGTTCGTACTGTATACTGTAGACAGCCACCAGGAGGAGCTCTTGCAGTCCAAGATGAAACCCAAGATGGCTGCTCCCTGAATCAACAGTAAAAAGTGTCACTTTTGATAGTGTTTGTTACGGCACAGATAGTACTGCGCAAGCTCTATCTGTGGACATGTGTTGCTTTTGAGACAGTTGCAAACTATCAAGTAGTGTGTTGCTATTGCCTGGTATTAGGTAACAATTTAATGGGAGCAAGTTTTTAGCTCATATCGCAGACAACTCAAGGCCGACTTCTGAGGTAAATGGGTCACACTTTTACAAGGGTGACCGTACTCTAAATCCCCAAAACAAGGACAAAACTACAATTGGAGTCACAGAGTCGAAGTTAATTTTTAGAGTTTTTCCGGTCAGGTGCAGTGTTTTTTACGTGCTTCTAACTCAGTAAGTCCGCATGACACAAACTCAAAACTTCCATACAAAACCGCGGATGTTTAAAGGATTTTATAAACTCCCCCGGACAAAGCCGGACAAGGCCAGACAGCCTGGATCATTATAACATAATGTGACCTTATTTTCATGGTTGAATGTATTTTCTAACACCTAAAAGTGAGATTTTGCAAATGTTTAGATAAGTTAAGTATCTCAGAGGTTTAACTCAGGAATAAAATTTAACAGGCAACACAACCTTTTTATTAAACCAACAAAATTCCCATCATGACAAACTGATCAAAGTTTTGTGCCACATGGAGACACGGATGAACCTGAGCTCAGTCCACAACCTGCTGACGATGATGGTGGAAGTGATGACCCGGGACAGGTGTTCCCATCAGGAACTCCTCCGTGTCCCAAGGTGCGAGAAGAAATCTTCTGCTTTGAAACAGACATAATACGAAGAACATTTAGCATTGTTGCATAGTAGGTCGATTTCTTTGTGGCCGTACAAAACCAGACGAAAAGATAACTTAAACAAAGGGCGAGGACGTGGTTAGAGTTACACTATAAGAGGAAGCGGGGGAGCTTTGGTCCCACCAGTTGGAGACTCTCTGGGTCTACAGGTAAGTCTGACTAATTCTCCTTCACTAATGACCAACGCTCAGAGCTGTAACCTTATTTTCACAGGTCAGGTAAAGATAATGAGACAGTATAATGATAGAAGCTTAATTTTTTACAAGTGTTTGATATGAATTTATATTTATCTTTGTTTCTGGAAGGAGAAAATGCTGATTTTATTGCTATCTTTTAGTTCGCTCTTTAAATATTTGATGAGATATGCATCTTAATGTAAGACGGATTCAAATAAGACTGAGAGGAGCTGTTTATCTGTTATGTTGTACACTTTATAAAACTGTAAAAATGTCAGTGGAATCTGGATTTTCTGTGTTATAGGTGAGGAGCAAAAATATGACGTACCTGCAAAAAGCGACTGTGCTGCTCTTCTTGGCTTTATCAGTATCAGGTAAGTCCTCCAAGTGAAAATCCTCATTCCTACAAAGCAAAATAAAATCTACAAAATTTAATAATTATCATAATTAGTAATTCTGTATAAAATAATGTCTATTTAACTTGTGATTTTTGTATTTCCACTGTTTTAAAGAGACATTCGCTGGAAGAATCATTGGAGGTCATGAGGTTAAACCGTACACAAATCCATACCAGGCATCCCTGCAGTATAAGAACAGGAGACACTACTGTGGCGGAACGTTGGTGCACCCTCAATGGGTGGTGTCTGCTGCCCACTGCTGGAGACCGTGAGTATTACATCGGACAGTAACAGTTATTAAGATAAAAGTACAGATTTAATGCCCTAAAATTTCTCTGATATAATTAGAAAAATAGTACAATATTTGATTTAATAAAAGAAAACACTCTTGTACACATACCTTGAATATGTACTTGTTATCATGTAAGTTTATACACGATAACAGTTGAATACAAACAGGGTTTCTACACAGCTAAGAGTTTGAATTACCATTTATTGTATTTTAAAACTCACTTTCTAAGTCCCATATTTCTGTTTTTCAGGAGCAATCTGGTCCAAGTGGTGCTGAGTGAACACAACCTGAAGAAAAATGAAGGATTTGAGCAGGTTTTCAACGTTTCAGACATATATGTACACAGCTACAACAGCAAGACGTTCAACAACGACATCATGCTCCTCAAGGTAGGCAGAAGGTCAAATATGGTCCCCTGAGTTTATGACACATGCAGACAAAATTCACCATTAAATAGTAAGGATATTTTAGTGATGTAGAGTCAGGGGCCACAGACGGAAACTCAAATGTGCCTTATGTGTGTTACAGCTGAGTAGACCAGCACAGCTCAATGCCAACGTCCAGCCGGCTCGTCTCCCAGATCAGAGCACTCCACCGCTTTATAACGACGTCTGCACAGTGAGTGGCTGGGGTGTGACGAAGCTGTACAGTTACACCCTGTCCCCTGTGCTCCGTGCCGTGGATGTGAGGATAATCCCTTACTGCCATTATTATTACTACTGGCGGATGATCACTTCAAACATGCTGTGCGCCGGATCTCGATTCGGTGGAAAGGATTCCTGTCAGGTACAGACTTTTTATTCCTCTCCAGATGTGCTGAAGATTCGGAAATTCACCAGTTTGGTTCTCTGGGTCAATAATTGATTAGATTTAAATAAACCATAGACTAGAGTCAGAAGATGAAGGTGAACGGTACGTGCTGGGCTTCCCATGACCGTGGCGTACCATCTTACCAAGCTCAAACATTCAAAATGGGCTCACAGACTTAGTTAGCAGGGCAAATATCTGACAAATGAATACTTTAAGAATTGAATGTAACTCACAAAATAATCCTGATGGGCTGATAATATAGTTTACTTAGCTTAAAGATGTGTAGTTTATCCAATATCCCCAGGAACATTTGTCCAAACGGCAAAAACAGAACTAAAATAGCCGATGGGTTTATTAACTAGCTTTGGTGTCAACTAGCATACTTCCATACTTTGCTGTAAACTTATATTTCTGTTGAGTTAGACTTTATAATATGGGGCCTAATGGGGTTTAACTCAGTCTTGAAGCTTGCCTCAAGTGGCCACTGGAGGTACTGCAGCTTCACTGGTTTAATGTCTCGAGAGTCGAGGTTGTAACTTGGTTTAAACACCTTTTATCCTTTTAATTCTGAGTGCTCTCATATCCACCCAAGACTGGAATTTATAAGATTAACCATCATGTCTGATGTTTCCTGTTGATCCACAGGGCGACTCTGGTGGTCCCCTTATCTGCAACGGCTACTTTGAGGGCATCGTCTCCTGGGGTATCAGCTGTGCGAACCCGTACTTCCCTGGAGTCTACACCAAAGTGAGGAGTTACGTCAACTGGATCAACTGGATCATCGCGAATAAAACAACCTAAACAGTCCCCATGTATATAAATCACAGAAACAGTTACGGCTGTGTTTTCTATTTACTTATCCTTGTCCTTGTGTATTATGTATTGAGAGAAGCTGAAATGTAATGTTGGGGTGTAGATAATACAGCGGGGTTCTTCTGTTGTTTCTAGACATCAGGTTTCATTGAAAAAGTGTTATTTTAGTCATAACTTATTAATTTTTATTATCTCATTTCTCTAGTAGAAAAAAAATACACAGAATTAAGCCAATAATTTTCATTATCATACTTATTATCAGTAGAAAAAGAAGTAGTCATGCGGTTTTTGTTAATAGAAGCAAAGATGTTGAGTTGTGTCGGGGAACAGGGTCACGTAAACAAACCTTTTCATCTTTTTTTTCCACCTTTGTATCAAGTACAATCAATATTGTTCTTTACGAGTGACCAATGTGAGGGGCCTAGAAAACAAATATCACACACCCTGAGGTTCCCATCTGTTCAGTTTTGTATTTACAGTACTGGTGCTGTTTGTTAAACACCAAAATACGCTGTCAATTATTTGTGTATTTTTGACTGAATTAATAAACTACACAGGGACAACACAAACGTTACTCTCATGTGAAGAGAGAAACACTATCTAATTAAACAAAATATACATTTTCTTTTGCAGTTGTGTTATTTTATGCATGACACATTCAGGGTCAGCTGTGACTCAGTTAGTCGAGTTGGTTTTCTCCAAATCAAAAGGTCAGGGAAACACAGACCATTTACCATTTTTTAAATATTTTTTGCTTTCTTACTTCTCCTTCTTTATTTTTCTTCTCCTCCCTCATCCTTCATCAGCCCCTACTTTTATTGTGGACTGCCAAAGTCCAAAGCAAGCAATTAAAAGCATTAAGATACACTTTTGACTGTGTACTTTACACTTTCTTTCCAGAAATGTTTGCATATGAATATAAAGCATTTTATTAATATTGTAAATATTTAATGTTTTTTCTGAGCCAATGATATAAATATCCGCTTTGTTTCATAATTAGGGTGCCCGAGAACTGCCACTGCTGCAATAAAAAAATCGCCACTTTTTTTTTTTTTTACGTCTTTAACTTCCTTTGTGGCTTTTTAAAAAATGTATCTGCACTGTTTCTTTTTTTTGTATCGGTTACTTCATCAGTAACTTCCGTTATAATTTTTTTTTGTTTTTTTTGCATTAATTTTTTTTGCAGCAGTGGCGGTTCTCGGCCACCATACACCTTGATATAAATAACAGCGTTGTTTCATAATAATGTAAAAGGAAGATATGGAGCTTTGCCCATATTTGGGTCAGCTGTCATTTTCGCGCATGCTCAGTAGCAGCTGTTCTGTTTACACAACATTGCCCTTGCTAGAGAGGGAGCTGAGAACTAATACGGGAGGACATATCTGACAGCTAAGTTACCTCTCCGGGTAAAAGTATGTCTGTAAAGCAAGCTTTAACCCGGGGGCTCGAGCTGGGCCGGTCGGTCTTTCAGCTGGGTCTCCTTAAATCGGGTGGCCGAGTCGCAGCAAAGCTCCGAGCTGACCGTTTCCGTGTAGGCCCGTCGGTCCGCACCGTTCAGCCTCAGGCTTTCCTGCCGTCTCGGTACCGCTACTACCGCACCTCTCTGAAGGGCCTGGCTGCCCAGCTCCAGTCCGCTGGTTTCAGGAGGAGGTTCGGCGGGGGGTCCCCGAGAAACAGGGCCGTGTTTTTAGCTTTTGGACTCGGCGTTGGGCTTATTGAACAGCAGCTGGAGGACGACAGAAAGAGTGCGGCGACATGTCAGGAGATACAGGTGAGAAGAAGCACCACACATGCGGGTACTCCTGGGTACAGTAGCCCGGTACTCTGGAGCCCCTGACCTAGATTTTAGTATGTCTGTATGGTGCTTTAAATAATTTGTGGAGCTTGAATTAAATATGGCATAAATAAGCTGCCCTATTTTACATGGTCGAGTCTGCAAAATGGAATACGTTTGAAACTATATGAATATTAATCAAATAGTTTATTATTATTACTTTATTTGGCAGTTATAATATTTTAAAAAAATCTAGATTTAAGCTCCTAAAACTTGATGGACCTGTGTAAGACACATTTTACAGTTTTCTTGCTTCTTAGTTTGGTTTAAAATCAGTTAAATAATAATCAAAACAAATACTGTACATATTTAGACTTTGGAGCTCAGAAGTTAAAAAAGCATAAACCAATATTTTTGGTGTAATCTATGATGTCTGTCTGGATGAAATGGGATTTTTCTACATGGTAAAATTTCTGTTCTGCAGGCCGTGTTCAGCAAGAAAAGGTTCCAGAGCCCCCTCAAACCGATCATCTCTGGGTACAAACTGGAGGATTACATTATTGGGAATCAGATTGGAAAAGGCTCCAATGCTGCTGTGTACGAGGCTGCAGCTCAGTTCACCCCCCAGAAAGAGAGCATCAGCGAGAAATCCCTTCCTGCGGTGCAGCCTAAAGATGATGAAGAAGAGAGAGAAACCCCTCGATCTGTGGCGTGCTGCTCCTTTAGGGGTTTCCCTCTGGCTATCAAGATGATGTGGAACTTTGGGGTTGGTGTTTTGCATCGTATCATACTTTTGTCCTGAATATGGGTATCAGCACACAGATGAGAGCTGACTTGTTCTTGTTGGTGTCTCTCGCTTGCAGGCGGGGTCATCAAGCGAGGCGATATTAAAATCCATGTCTCAGGAGCTGGTGCCTGCAGGTCCTCTGGCTTTAAAGCAGGAAAAGGAGCAAATCACTCTAGACGGGTAAGTACAATGAAACTGTCAGCGCCTTCACAGCTCACTTGTCGTCCTACAAAGTGTACAAACGATGTCTGTGTCCTCTCTTTAGACATTTTGGAGTCCTGCCCAAGAGTCTTTCAGCTCACCCTAATGTGATCAGAGTGTACCGCGCTTTTACAGCAGATGTGCCGCTGCTGCCGGGTGCCCAGGAAGAGTATCCTGATGTTCTGCCATCCAGGCTGAACCCTGATGGACTGGGCAACAACCGCACTCTTTTCCTGGTCATGAAGAAGTAAGATCTGGTTTCTTTAAACACCAAGAAAGAAACAATTAGATTAAAAGGCCTCATATATAAATCCTGGAGTTGGGTCTGTCTGAAGAAATCCATAAAGCTAAAGTAGCTGCTTTCACCCCTTTGCTCATTACCCTCCTGTATGCCTGTGTTACAGCTACCCCTGCACACTGAGACAGTACCTGGAAGTGACCTCACCGAGCCGCAGGCAGGGCTCCCTGATGGTGCTGCAGCTCCTGGAGGCCGTGGACCACCTTTGCAGACAGGGTGTCGCTCACAGAGATCTCAAATCAGACAATGTGCTGCTGGAGTTTGACTCCGGTGAGAGAAATATTTAGTCATCAAAAGACCAATATGAGATTTGATCCTGTCAGTTTAATCTTATATTCATTTTTATTGATCTTTCTCGCAGATGGTTGCCCACGTTTGGTGATTACAGACTTCGGCTGCTGCCTGGCTCAGAGTGACTCCAGTCTGCAGCTGCCCTTCAACAGCATGTGGGTCAACAGAGGAGGGAATGCCTCCCTCATGGCCCCTGAGGTGCTCTTTAAGTAGATTTTTACTATTAAGTCAAAGAGGAATGTCCAAGAATTGCTTAGTTGTCTTTAACAGGCTTTAACTTCTGGATCTTTGCTGCACTTTCTCTAATGCTGTTTTCATGATGCGTCTGCTCAAAGGTTTGCACCGCTGTACCTGGAGACGGTGTTGTGATCGACTACAGCAAATCAGACGCCTGGGCAGTGGGAGCCATCTCCTACGAGATCTTCAACCAGCAGAACCCGTTCTACCGAGGAACCGGACTGGAGAGCAGGAGTTACCAGGAGAAGCAGCTGCCTCCTCTGCCCTCTTCTGTCCCAGCTGATGTGCAGTTAGTGATCCGCTTACTGCTCAGGAGGAGCCCAGACAAGGTACTGCTGCATCTGGAGTGTGTGAAATCAATTTGTTTAAACTGTACATGAGCTACATGGTCACCATGAGCAACTGAAGGGAAAATCTTGTTGTCTGTTCCTCTTACTTTGTTCATCAGCCATTAGATATCAGCCAGGAAGTGTTCAGGAGGGGAATTGGGCCACTTTTCTAAAAATAGACCCTACAGGAGCACAGGGAGAAAACCCAAAACAAGAAAGATCCAAAAGGAAACATGATAAGATGAACAGATGATGACTTGCTTGGTTAAAAAGAGAATTACAGCCCCTTTCCTGTGTCTTATTTGTCGTCCTACACCTGATTAAAAGCTCACTAAGATGTTTTCCTCTCTCCTCAGCGCCCCAGTGCTCGAGTAGCAGCTAATATGCTAAACCTCAGCCTCTGGGGACGCAAAGCCCTGGCCAATCAGGACAGCGTGGGCATGAAGAAGCTCACCAATTGGCTGTTGTGTCAGTCCGCTGTGGTTCTCCTGAAGGGCTGCAGCGGACCCAGCGGGAACAAGGTGGAGGCGGAGCTTCAAAGGAGCTTCCTCGCGAACCTGGACCTGGAGGACCTGCGCACAGCCGTGTGTTTCCTGCTGTATGGGCAGTGTCAGGCCTGCATACTGTCTGCATAGATCCTCTCTCAGACTCAAAGCTTCATGGGTAGACTGGGAGCGTAGGGTTAGAGATCTGCTTTGATTTTCAGTCTGGCGTATATATTCGTATATAACCTCTACATCTAACAGCTAGTAAGGCAAAATCCCCTGACACTGCTCTCCTTCACAACTCCATCGTGTGACTGTCAGTGTTTCTAGCAGGTATTGTGAATTATTAACTTGTGTAATTCACTCTTTTGGATCTTCCCTGTTATCCTCCCCCTCTGCGTTTCTTTTGATTGTATCTGAGCCAAATTTAGCGTCAGCTGGAGTTGAAGGAAGCGCTAAGGGAGCATTTTTGCACAGCGTAAACAGTCTTGCGGGTGTTTTGCATCATGGACAAACGAGGCTGCTGTTAGGGCAGAAAAAAACTCACTATCAGTTTATTTTCTGTGGCTAATATCTCCTATAAATTCATGATCGTTCGCCCTAAATGACAACATTTTCTCAGGAACGTGAGGCACCGGTGGCTGCTGTTTTTTATCATAAGATTGGATGTTTTCTTTAATGGAGGGATGCACTTTTTAAATACTTTTTAGGGGGAAAAAAACACACTTTAAGCAATTAAATGTGTTCAAATAAAAGTTATATCTGCAGGTGTTTTGGGTTTTTAAAGCTAAACGCTATTTCTGATCATTTGATTGTAAAGAAAAGGGTAAAAAGACAATGCTGTTTAATTCAGCCACCAAACAGAAAACTCATCCATGAAATTTTTCACCCATAAATGTTTCAGAAAAGTTGAGAGTTTAGCAGAAAATTTACCGACCTTCTAAGCATGTCGTTTTGCTTTGTCTTTGTCCATTTTTGCACTTTATGTCCATGTTTGCACTTTTTGAGACTTGCTGGAGCTTAGCTGCAACAACAGTTATATTTTGGTACGGATTTACAATTGAATTGAATTTATTTCTACAATGTAAAGAGGAAAAATACACTTACAAACAAGCAGCCGGATAGAAACAAACACTACTCACTGTTTAAGAAATATGCCAAATCTAAGCTACATGAATTAAGGGATTTTATCCTGTAGACTTTACTGACTTTAAAATGTGACAAAACTTATCTTATTCAGTTGACAAGGTTGGCATCTTTGTGCGTGATTAAGAGAGTGTGTGCTTATATTATGAAAAAGATGGTTAGATATATTTTGGATACACTTGTAATTTGATTTTCCTGCTGAATTTCAGAATAAAAGAATTTGTCCAGGAAAAAAAAACTGTGAATTTACATTTCAAGTCATTTCCTCTCTTATTTTTAAGTTGATGTTTTGGTAAATGAAGGAAATTTATTCCCTTTTTTTTAAAGATGCTGTGACTTTATTTTGGTTTGCATCAAGTTTCGACCTTTAAATCTTGTCCTGTCTCTGTGAAAACAGCCTTTTCAGACAAATACCTCATCCTGATGTCTCGTCCCAGGTAAATAAATCATCATGGAAAGTTTAAAAAAAGAGGCCATTTCTTCAGCTGCTAATAATCTGGTTTTAAAGCATCTTCAGGCACAAAACAACTGAGGACATTTCAGCTTTATTGCTAATTATCTTGTCTGCTTTTGGAGGTCCAATAGTAAGAATCTCGGCCTGTTTCTCAACCACTTAAAACCCCTCACAGTTCCTTTAAGCTCAAAGCTGGTTGTGTTTTGTGATTCTTTCCTTCACTCACATCAGAGGTTAAAGTTTTCATCTTTGGACATAAAAAAACAACGAAAACACAATAAAATCATCATATCAGAGGATCTTTATTTAGGACAGAGTAAAGCATGTCAATGATTGTACTCTGATCACATCCAAACACAATTATTAGACAAACATTTCTGTTTGGAATGTAAAAAGGAACAAGTTAAACCATTTGTTCCTTCAGGTCTTCCTAATACTCCTCTCCTTCCTCCTCTCCCTCCCCTTCAATGGAGTCGACTCCCACCTCCTCATAATCCTTCTCCAGAGCTGCCATGTCCTCTCTGGCCTCAGAGAACTCCCCCTCCTCCATACCCTCACCCACATACCAGTGAACAAAGGCACGCTTAGCGTACATCAGGTCAAACTTGTGGTCCAGGCGGGCCCAGGCCTCTGCAATAGCAGTGGTGTTGCTCAGCATGCACACGGCCCTCTGGACCTTGGCCAGGTCACCACCAGGAACCACAGTGGGAGGCTGGTAGTTGATGCCCACCTTGAAACCAGTAGGGCACCAGTCCACAAACTGGATGGAGCGCTTGGTTTTGATGGTGGCGATGGCAGCGTTTACGTCTTTGGGCACCACGTCGCCACGGTACAAAAGGCAGCAAGCCATGTACTTGCCATGGCGAGGGTCGCATTTGACCATCTGATTGGCTGGCTCAAAGCAAGCGTTGGTGATCTCAGCCACAGAGAGCTGCTCGTGGTAAGCCTTCTCAGCTGAGATGACGGGGGCGTAGGTGGCCAGAGGGAAGTGGATACGGGGATATGGCACCAAGTTGGTCTGGAACTCTGTCAGATCAACATTGAGGGCACCATCAAAACGCAGAGATGCAGTGATGGAGGACACGATCTGACTGATCAACCTGTTCAGGTTGGTGTAAGTGGGACGCTCGATATCGAGGTTTCTACGGCAGATATCGTAGATGGCCTCGTTGTCCACCATGAAGGCACAGTCAGAGTGCTCCAGGGTGGTGTGGGTGGTCAGGATGGAGTTGTAGGGCTCCACCACAGCAGTGGACACCTGGGGAGCTGGGTAGATGGAGAACTCCAGCTTGGACTTCTTGCCGTAGTCGACAGAGAGACGCTCCATCAGCAGGGAGGTGAAACCAGAGCCGGTACCACCTCCAAAGCTGTGGAAGACCAGGAAGCCCTGAAGACCGGTGCACTGATCAGCCTGAGGACAGAGAAGATGAAGGTGTTTAGATGAAGGTGTTTATGTTAGCCGTCAGTAGATAAGCGTGGTTTGTATGAAACATGGGAAAGGATAAATCAAATCTGGAGAAATTAAAGGATGGATCCATTTTTGATCGAGTTACCCACCAGTTTGCGGATCCTGTCCAGCACCAGGTCGATGATCTCCTTGCCGATGGTGTAGTGTCCGCGGGCGTAGTTGTTGGCAGCATCCTCCTTGCCTGTGATCAGCTGCTCAGGGTGGAAGAGCTGGCGGTAGGTCCCGGTGCGGACCTCATCTGAGGAGACAAATTCATGAAGAACTTACTAGAGGATTCGACAGGATAAAATCAAGAGACGTTTTTCAGTTTTACAAGAGTTTACCGATGACAGTGGGCTCCAGGTCCACAAAAACAGCCCTGGGGACGTGTTTTCCAGCTCCGGTCTCGCTGAAGAAAGTGTTGAAGGAATCATCTCCACCTCCGATGGCTTTGTCGCTGGGCATCTGTCCGTCTGGCTGGATGCCATGTTCCAGGCAGTAAAGCTCCCAGCAGGCGTTGCCGATCTGAACTCCAGCCTGACCGACGTGGATGGAGATACACTCACGCTGGGGGGGCAGGCAAGAAGATTTGGATTAAGGGAGCTGAACCTTGAACTGCTAATAAGGGAGGAGATTTTCCGGGACTGCTGCTAATTAAAACGGACAAATTGGGGAGATTTGTCGAGCCCAGAATTTAAACCTTCCTAACTTGGTAACCAGATGGGTTCTCTGAAATAACCTCCTCCTGGATTAGCTATTGGATGAGCTGCAAGATGCTGCAGATCCACACCCCGTTTGCACTGAATCTTTTATTGCATCTCTTTGTTGTCCTCTGACAGAGATTCGCTCTGCCATTTCTCAAACAGGGAGCCCATGCATTTTCTGCTGCGACACAAGACTGTGTCTATTGCGCATGGGATTACTGGAGGGAGAGAGGATTATCTAGGTCAGACATGTTGCAGTGTGCTGCCTCTTTAAAAAGACTCATTCTCACGAGGAATTTCCACCCTTATTTTTTTATTTCTAGCCGATATCAAACAGAGATATGCTGTTAACGGCTCCCTCTTTTCCTCAAACACTTGACACACACGGAGGAATATATGACTCCAGATTAAATAATCTCTTAAAAACAGGATCACTGAATGATGAAGTACTTATGTAACAGTGATGGTTTGAATGCTTTGTAAAGGGACAGACATTGATTTAAACAAACATGTCGAATGAGGGTGAATCAGGGTGAGAACAATGTTCACGCTGTGGTATCTAAGCTTATTTAGGAGGGTTTTGTGAGGGAGGATTAGGAGTTTCTAGAGAAAGCATGCATCACACTGCTTGAAAACCAACAATATTCCCAAATGTAATGAGATACAATAAAATTAATACATTCATGGTCTCAATATGCTTTAGGGTATGGCAAGACTAATCAAAAACCCTGAAATAATCCAAATAGAACGACCTACTTCTCTTTGTCCTCACTGTGAATATAGGTCAGGCTGTAAGAGAGAGAATAACACACTTGAAATCACATTTAAATTTGCACTTACCATGATGGCTTGTCGATATTATGCAATGTAATGAGACAAGCTGGAGTGAGGAGCGTTCACGTCTGAGGTGAGCGGTGTCTGAAGTGGATCTGCTGGAGCGTCACAGTCTGCCTCCTCAGGATGACAGGTGTAGTGCGCACATTAAAAAAACAAAAAGCCCCCTCCTCCTCCTCCTAAAACTGCAGTAACTGTTTCACACCCAGAACAGACAGCTTTTATATAATATACTTATATAACAACAGAATATGCATATAATGGAGTATGGTGGTCTGAAGACTAATAAAGTACTGAGATACTGAGTATTTAGTTAAATGAAGCAGGGGTGTGTCTAGATTTTTCAAATGGGGGGCCCAGCTCAGTCTTTGATTTGTGCAGGGGTGGCACGAATTAGTGCATAAATAAGATATATGTATTTACCCTTTTTTATATCCTCTTAATATAGTTAAAATGCACCTAAGTGTTGTGAGGACATCAAAATCTTAAATATTAAAGATTTTATAACTTTACGTTCACATCATTTGAATCAACAAAGCAGAAATTTTTATGGATTCTGAAAAAAACTGTATGTCGAGATCACAGTTTTAAGTAGGTATTGGCCAAAATAGTAATAATGATAATAATAATTATTATAAATAATAATAAAATAATAACAATAATAATAAGGTTACTATTATTATTATTATAATTATTATTTTTATTGTAACAACAACAACAACAACAATTATTATGATAATAAAGTCTAGTGTCTAGAGAGGAGAGTGAAAGAGGAAACAAACGGCATACTCCTGTGTCCACATGGCTCAGAGGATAAGAACAGTGACTGCGACTCCTGAAGTTGTGGGTTCAAGCCTTACCTTGCACAGGTCAAGGTAAATTTTAAAGTCTTGCACATTAAAATAGGGGGGAAAAATACAGAATTCTCCTCTGTGTCCACATGGCTTAGGGGATAAGGAGACTACCTGGGACTCCTGAGGTCATAGGTCCGAACCTTATACAGGACCAGTTTTAAAGTCAAGGAGCCGAAGTACCAAGATATTTAATATTTAAGTTATATTCGTATATCTAAATAAATAAAAATCTTCATTTGTTTTTCATTCCTAGGAGATGGTCATTTTATTGCCTGCCACTCCCACCTGTGGAGTTATGGACTTGTGCTGCCTTCATGGTCTGGTCCATGTAGGAATTTTCTAAATCACTGACCATTTTCAGAAGTTTGGCCTGCATTTATAAAGAAAAGGTGACTCGTCGCTGTTTTAAATGTAGGTTTACAAATGACCTACAATGACTTTTATGCCTGTAGGAGTGTCTTATAATATATTCAAAGTAGCTTGACTCACTTTTTAAAACTTTCCCTACTAGAGCTTTAAAGTTACAAGCTGGCTGTGAATCGCCTCGGCCTTTTGACACACACCAGCTGCAGCTTACCCGTGGATATCTGCAAACATGTTTTCGTGTTTCAGAAACCTCCGTGTGACTCGCTCCGTCATTTCTTCGTCTTATGGTGGGACTAAGGCGGACTGCTTCCCCCTGCGGACACCACAACCTTCGGCTCTGTGTCGAACCCCGCACCGAACATGCTCAGGCAGCCGCTTCAATGTGCCTCCGAGCGCCGAGTTTGTTGCGAGGGTGTCGGGGATCCCCACCATGGCCAAGTTACCCTACCAGGAGACGGCAGACGGGCTTGATGCGGCGTTCATCGGCGTCCCTATAGACACCGGGACCTCCAACAGACCTGGAGCGAGGTGCTTATTTCTGTGGGACTGCTGACTTGTTCTGTCTGACCCAGTTTGCTGCAGGAATCAATGCCTAATTATTTATTTGCACATTGGTACAACAAAACCTCAGTTATTACAGCAGCTGAACAGCTGAAGGTTTAAGGGTTATTTAAATCGGCAAATATCTAACCAGGGACACATAGTCTACTCGGTTTTGCATTTGATTATAATCCACATAAACTTTTAAAAGGCAAAAATATAGAGATAATTAATTAACTTGTTGTAAGTAACTTGTTGTTGTTTTTTCCAACAGCAATATATAGCAGGTAAATCATTAACTATTCCCTGAATTGGATTTACCTCTAATATTGACAGTAAGGCCACAGTACAGAAGTTCCTAAACTGTTATTCTCTCCAATGACCAGCAGGAGGCGATTTTACATGTTGCATTTGAATCCACCAGGTAAATGACCAGACTTTGCACCTGGTTTATTACTTTAGAAACCGTAAACTATGTGGGTAACCCAGCTGCAGATGGGATAGAAATTAGTTCTCTTCACATTTTTAAGGATGGGTTTTCTTTGACAGGTGTGCATGTGGCTTTAACCCCCCAATTCCCAACGCATCCAGAACGGCTACGAAAAGGCCGTACCCTCCGATCATAGCTAATCGTAACCACCTTAACAGCTGTGAACACGGTGCTATGGTGTTTGTAAGAGTAAAATACGTGTTATACGTTGTTTACAACTGGTATCGCTAACAACAACAACAACTAACAACTGCTGCCTACGGCTAACAACAGCTGACAATTGTGATCAACAGCTAAAACGCCCATCTTGGTTCTCTAACTTGTTAACTGTAAGGTGTGACGTCATTCCCAGCTCTGACACCTGACTTCCGAGGTAACTGGAACGTAGCATTATTACCAGAAGTCCCACCCTCTCTTGATTTTGATTGGTTTGTGCAGGTAACTAAAAAAAAAAAAAAAAACTAACACTAACCCCCAATTTCTACCGCATACGGAACGGCTACGAAAAGGCTGTATCCACCAATTGTAGCTGATCGTAACCATTCAAGTTAATGTGTCAATTTCCACCGGCTTCTCTCCGTTTCGCTGCGGATCGCCGGACTCCGCAGCTGATCGCAGGAGTTCTATTTTTTTCCAGGGGGTTACTCTTGAAGTTGGCCTTTAGTGGACACTTGAGGAACTGCAGTTTGTAGCTCTTCATTTCACTAGACTGGAGGTTGCTGCTTGGACTCAGTTTGACTTTTAGCGGAGCTAGCCAGAGGCAAAGAAGCGCAGTTGTCTTACATCTGTGTTTTGCCAGCCTGTCAAAAAAAAACCCATTTTCTTATACCTGGCTGTGCTTGTTTATTTCTGACTTGTTTACAGTTTTTAACCCTTCTTGGCTTTAGTTTTAGTGTATTGAAATTTCCTTTCTCTTCTTCAGGTTCGGTCCCCGTCAGATCAGAGTGGAATCGGCCATGCTCAGAGCGTACAACAGCGGCACCAGAGCTGCACCGTACGAGTCCCTCATGGTGGCCGATATCGGGGACATCAATGTGAACCTTTACGATCTGAAGGACACGTGCAAACGCATCAGGGAGGCCTACAGACAGATCCTGGCTACTGGATGTATTCCTCTGACCATGGGTAAAAACCTCAGAGTTGATCTCTTTTAAGTTGTGTTTGTTTGATTAAAGATCAGACTCTTCAAAGTTTTTAATATCTGCAGGTGGTGATCACACGATTGCATATCCAATCCTGCAGGCTGTTGCTGAGAAGTAAGTGAGCCACACTTCAACGGATGCTTCATTGATAATTATTTACTTTAACTAGTGAGCACAGTGGTGGTTGGAGTATTTTGAAAGCTGATCTCCTTCTGTGTCCTGTGATGGTCTATCAGGCATGGCCCTGTAGGTCTGGTCCACGTTGATGCTCATGCCGACACCAGCGATGTGATCCTGGGGGAGAGAATCGGACACGGGACTCCTTTCAGACGCTGCGTAGAGGAGGGACTGTTGGACTGTAAGAGGGTGGTCCAGATCGGCCTGCGAGGTCCGGGTTACTCCCCTGATTCTTACTCATGGAGCCGAGAGCAGGTACGCCAACAAGAGTCTCAACATCTCAACAGTGTCTCTGAAAAACAGCCCTCTCTTTGCATACCCTGCAGGGTTTCCGTGTGGTTCAAGCGGAGGAGTGCTGGTTCAAATCTCTGACACCTCTCATGGCGGAGGTCCGGGCTCAGATGGGCAGCGGTCCAGTTTATCTCAGTTTCGACATTGATGCACTTGACCCGGGATTCGCCCCTGGGACTGGCACACCGGAGATAGCAGGTCTCACTCCCATACAGGTGAACTCAGTGACTCAGACCCTCGTCTTCTTGTATCTTCATTGTTATGATAGTGATTTATATTGTCTGTTGTCATGGTTGGATTTAGGGGGTTGAGATCATTCGAGGCTGCCGTGGTCTGAACCTTGTTGGATGTGATTTAGTGGAGGTGTCACCACCTTATGACACCACAGGTATACATCTATTAAAGTACTTTTTTTCCTACAGTTTAATTATAATTCACACATTTATTTTCTCTTCAACAGGGACGACCGCACTGACTGGTGCCAACCTCCTCTTTGAGATGCTGTGCGTCCTCCCAAAGATCAAATATTACTGATCATCACAGACCACACAGAAATAAAGCGAATTTAATCAATAAAGGCAAATGTTTACAGCCATCAGGAGGAGGAATCGACTGTACAACTGTTGCTGAAAATGCTTTTTCATGGTATGAGATCTCTCACTGTGGTTGATAATATCCAAACAAATGAATAAACCAAACTCATATGTTTATTTATGAATGTGGGTACACATTAGCTTTTGCTCTCCATCCAACAAAATTCAGCACTATGACCCATGAATGAAAACTCATCTGTGTTGGTGGAGGGAAAAAAATGAGAGACAAAAAGTTATTTTCATTGTTTTTTTAAGCGATCCCAGTATATGTGCGGAGGATTTGTAATGATGAAATTTAGCTGTTAAAAACTACTCAGACAAAGGTCACTCAGTCTTAAAAGATTAATAAAAAAAATCTAATGTGATAAAAGTCAAAACCTTAGACTAAAAAAACTGTCATAACTGCATTTTTAATCTTACAATTTTGGCCTTTTATTCTATAAATTTGACATCTTTCAACCCCAACCCCTTTGTTCCCTTACAAAAGACAAATATATTGCAGTATATTGGAAAATATCATGCTATATATTAGTCAATATATTCCCATATATATTTAGTATTTAGATTTTCTAATATATTGCAATTTATTATACCAACATAGAATATATTGTATTATATATGTGTCATTAATATATTATTGCATGTATTTTCAGTGTATAATATATTGGAACATGTGTTGGAAAATACATCAGAATATACTGTAATATATTTTAAATAATATATTGGTAAATATGTTTTTCTTTCATAAGGGTTCAAAAAAGACAATCCTGGATACTTTTTTATGACTCGAAAACAGTTATCAGTAAATTAGTCATGATCATGAGATTTAAGTAAAAACCTATGAGTCAGTAACCATAGTTAAATTTCGCATGTTGAATTTTAATGCTTATTTCAGTGATTAACTTATTTTATTTGCATTCTTATACCTTGTTTCTTTAACATCTGTTCGTCTGCTGCCAGTAAAATTAGCCTACTACTTTTAGCCTTTTACTGTATTTACTAAATTTAAAATAACTTTTATGTTTATTAATATTTTTTTGCATTAAAGGATAAGTAAAAAAAATTATGACGAATACCATATCAGTGGAAACCTGTTTAGGAGGCGACGGATTACGAGCCAAACTGTAGCTCCTGAAGTGGACCAATCAGAGCAGGCGATTGGACCAATCAGAGCAGATGATTGGTCCACCTGATCACACAGGTGCGGAAATGTAAATGAGAAAATGGCGACATCGGAAACGCCGCAAAAGGCAAACTGAAAAGCGAACTTTAAACACTTGGAAAATAAGACAGAATTAACTTACATTTGCAAACGAATGGGAGCATTTTGAACTACTGGGACACTGGTTGACTGACAAGGTAAGACTTAATTTATTCGCCCATTTTAAAGGAGTAATTTAATTTTTTAAATTCAGTTTAAATGAAATAGAAGTGAGTCTGTTGTGTTGCTTTCTTTAAAAGAAGTGATATATATTTTTTGTACTTTTACTTAGGACGCCAAGAGGTATTCATACAATGTTTCTGAACGTACCCTCTTGTGTAAAATCATCATAGGAGACAACAGCAGATTTATTTTTAATGAAATGAAAAATAATAATAATAATAATAATAATAATAATAATAATAATAATAATAATAATAATAATTAAATAAAAATCATTTTGAGCAGTCATGGAAATCCTAAATTCAAATGCCTCTTAACAAGTAAGATAAAAAGGTTTTGATCACCATTTAATTGTGTTTATGGCCAAGAATCAAGTTTTAAAGGTTTCCAATTCGACCAGTTTAGCCCACATCAGAAATCCCCTTTGGCTGAGATTTGATATTGAAAAGTTAATTTTATATCCTTTTCTTATGTGGAAATGCAAAGAAAGTATTTTACTCTAATCATGACATTTATGGAAAGATATTTAGGCTGCTTTTTCACATGCAGTAGATTTATATTTACCAATTTTCATTTAGAATTTAATACTATTGTTTATTTTTAATGCACTGCAGAACAAAAACCATGAAGAAGAAACAGGATGGGAGGGTGATCAGGTAAGAGACCGTTTATTCATTTATGGATTGACAACAATTATGGAAGTGTGTTTTTTCTTGTGGGTAAAAAGTCAAGTTTTAGATGTCTGTTAATTTCCCATTTAATTCACTGTGTGATAAAGCTGCTTTAGTTTGGGATGTCATGCTCCTCAAACTCCAGTAGAGGGCGCTAAATGTTTAAATATGTTAGACTAGTCTGCTGTTGAAAAATGAATCCCATCCACTCTCTCTCTCTCTCTTTCTCTCTACCCCTCTCATGTTCACATCCAGATGAGTTGTAAGACCTGATAGGCTCGTATTTGTGTTTATTGGTGAGGCACAGTCACATCCCATGTGTCACGAACAGCATGTTCCAGTTGAGCATGTATAAAACTCCACCTGCTTCACATTATACTTCATGGAGGTAGCCATCAATTAACTTATTGCTGAATAAAAGTTATACTGCATATTTAATACTCGAAAGATTACAAGGGGCTTTAAAGGGAGCATGTGTTGGGAGATTTGTTTGTCCTTGAGGTAGAAGAGACATGTTGAAAAGGTTGTCGGTGGATGTCGAAGTCGTGGATTTTCTTCAATTACAGTTTTTCAACAGCCGATGCAGATATCAATAATGACAGAGCGGGTCAGCTGATAGCAGATAAACAATGCTGTTTTTGTTTTCTTATTGTCTGCTCAGCCATCTTGAATTATTTAAAAAAGATTAAAAAAAATACAAGGTAGATACTGCGATCAAAGTCTATATCTGTTACTTCATAAACAGTAAAGTCAAATACTTCATATCTAAGCTGGTAACATGTTTAAAACTGTCATTGTGGCAAAAATAATAATGCAATATTTAATCAATATTTTTATCAATTATTGACATGGTCAGGGCTGTTATATCTATCAAAAATATTTCACTTTGCACCTCTTTTTTTTAAAATATTGCATATTTTGTGTTTTTCTCATTGAAAAAATCAGCGGTTCTCATGACAAAAGACATAAAAACCTACAAAATATATTTAAAAAATAATTACAAACTTTATATCTATGGATAGGTCTGAATTTGTTGACAAGATGTGATGCTTTAAAAGTAAAAAAAAATATTAATGTATAACATTTTTACTGCACTTTCATTAGACGGACCATTTAGGAATTTGAATTCTGAACACATAATGGTAATATCGACCTTGTGAAGGCCGATGCTGATATTATACCAAATACTGTTTACTTAAAAATGCCAATAATCATCCTGATTAATTGGCCAACTGATAAGTCAGTCCATCTCTGGTACGTACAGCCGCTCTGTCGTCATGCTAACACTATACCTGATCTTTTCTGACACTCGTACACCTGCCTCTTCTTGCTCCTCTCCCTGCTCTCCTCTCTCCACTTCCAGCTGCCTGATAGTTTATTTTACAGGATGCAGTACTTTAATTTTGGCTGCAGAACTCATGCTGTTTTCTTAATTATGAGCAATTTGACTTGCGAAGACCTTGCCTAAACAGCTCATGCAAAACCACAAAGGAGACATTTCCCTTTTAATAAACTTCTTGTATTAGCAAAAAGCATTTTGGTGGAGTAACTTGTTAAAGGAGGTGATAAAACAAGGAGAATTACGACATGTGAGTGCAGAGTGAAAAATCTCTCTCTCTTTTCTAGTCTAAATAAATATGTTTTAGAGTGAAAGGGCGTCGACCTCCTCTCACAGCGGAAACGGCTCATTATTATTTGGCCGATACGTCGCTTATTCTCCCAGCTGTTTCCTACAGCTGCACAGTCCAGCTCCAGTTGGCAAAACACTCTGTGCTGCATCAGAGAAACAGACTGAGCCGACCGGCCGACCGGTGCTGGAGTGAGTCATCTGACATCCTACCACAAATCTGCATCGAATAGTTTGTACAGAGTGCAAACGCAGCAACAAGCAACACAAGTGGGAGTCAATCAGCTTTGGCTTGAAGGCTGCTCCCAGACTAAATGTTATAAAGGGCCTCAGCTGGAGAAAGATGTGTGTCCTCAGGAGAGACATTGGTGTTTGTTGTTGGTAGTTTTTCAAGCTTTGTTATCCACCTTTACCTGCCTTGTGTTGTTTTTTACCTATTTGTCTTGCATCATAGGAGTCGAGGATGTCTGAGGATCCTCAACATCTTGTTGGAGGCCACTTTAGTTTCAAGACCTATAATAAAGTTCTAACTGAACATGTTGAACACAAGTTTTCCAGTTCGGGATGCAAAGGGAGGAGTCCTTGAATCACACCACTGTGGTCAGCGAGATGCTTCCAGTGTGTATTCCCGGTCAGAGACCAGAAATGATCTCTCTGTGGTATTTCAAGAGGAGGCGAAGGAGCAAATGTGCAAAAATTCGACTCCAAGGATCTCTTTTGAGACAACAACATGACAAGATACTTTTTCATTAGCTATTAATACTACACGCTATGTAGACTAGCTATGTAAAAGCTTGAACGTTACCTTTCACGTTGAGAGAAGAGGGTCTGACAGGATTTGATGCGCTCCTTGATGACTCACAAGTCGGAAATAACGTTACGTGTTGTTGTGCTCACACAGTGCGATAGTAGAATCATGAGTACCGCATTGATATTGCGGCTTTTATTTAGCCATGGCGGTGCGCCACGATCAATTGCATGTAGGGGAAACCCTGTGACGTGAGAATGGGTCGAACTGCGTGACTGTCACATTCAAAACGTGAGGCTTGGCAGTGATATAATGAAAGGTGGAAGATGATTATGAAAAAGATTGCATATACCATGTTTGTCCACAGGGGGCACTGAAAACACCACAAACAGAGAAATCCTCACAGGAGCTTTAACACGGAGGGCTGATTGCTGTTTCCCGTTTTCTCTCATTAATCCTTTTATGTTCCCCCAGGTTTATATCCCATCTCTTTAAGAGGCGTCCCTGCTGTGGGCCCACAGGGGTGTTTATGGGCCCATGGTGTCTTCTTCTATCACATCATTTATCTATCGCAGTATCCATCTGTAAACATCCACCTGATTGTGTCTTTTTACTTATTGTCTCATCATAAATACACACCTTTTACACACTGAGTGTTTAACTTTTTTATGGCATCGACAAGTTTGGATGTATATCATAAACAGGTGTTGACAGGTGATTTTAGGACGCTCTGGAAAACTCAGAGTAGACACATCTGGTGTCCAGTGTTTAAACTTTATTAGCACCACATCACTGGCGTAAATCCGTAGATTGTTTTTTGTTTTTATGAGTGAAGAGTAGAAGATGTAATAAAGAGATATTTTTGGTAATCACCCTTTTCATTTCCTCTAAACATAGCTTAGTAATCGAATTAGCTCGTAAGAATGTAAATCTCACAACAGCTACACGGACAACATAGCAGGCGGCGTGATCGGGTCTTTCTGTTCATCTCCTTTTAGCCTATTTTGGTGAGCGGATGAGAACAGCTCCTCTCTATTTCTATTCAGGGTTCAGCTTTTAATTGGAAACAGCTGTTCTCACAAATCTCTGAGTGTTACAGTACGCTCTTAACACTGGTTACATGGATGACCACAGACACACACACACAAACACACACTCCTCCACACACAGCCTGACTTCTGTCCTGACTCGTGCTTCATAACATATTTCTGTTTGGCTCGTGATCGGTGGTTTTGTTTGCTCGCGGTGCCACAAAACAAACACTTTCATTGTGTTTCTTTTGAGGGGCTTGTTGCTGAGGTTGTATCAACTGTATAAAGTAGTTTTAGTCTTTGGTGTTGTACCGCTTTTACCTCCAGTAGGGGGCGCTTGTTGCCACAGTATGGCACGTCTAAGAACAGAGTTTTTCTTATAAGGTTTGCAACAGTATTTCTATTTCTACAAAAACACAAAGTTGGCTTTTTAATCCCAAGGCACTAACTGTAAAAATATCTTTATTTGCAAAGTTTTGTTTGGTAAATGTAGATTACAATGGAGCAGAGGTTTCTGTGATGGCAGTGATGTCTGAAAATATGTGACCTGAGGCCATGAAAAGTGAACTGGAGCAGATTTATTACCAGGAAAAACAACTTTCATGGTTCTTTCTTCATGACTATAAAATGTTTTTCTTAAAATACTCAATGTCTTTGTAAAAGTTTGGTTTATAGTATTATGGGATGCAAAACAAAGCAGTAGCTTAATTCAACTTTTCCAACTTCACCAACATGATCAATTCTGCTTTAGTTGAATGTAAACTTCGTATACTTATGTATTGTACTTAAAATATTTGAACGCAGTACTTTTTAAATAAGGAGTGCCACTTTTTACTAGGGCCTGACTGATATGGATTTTTGGGGCCGATATGATTTATTAGGGGGGTAAAAATCCGATTACTGATTAATCGGACGATTTTTAATTTTTTTTTTATGAAGTTATAAAAACTATATACTGTAGATATCTGTAGGCTACTGCTCTTCACGCCGACCGGAAGATCGACTGATCAAACTCGGACCAGAAAAGCGTTTTCAAAAGCGATAAATCAGTTGGGTCCTACTTTTTGCTACACATATCAGTAGGATGAATATTCCCAATATTCCAGTTCATTCGCCATTACGCCATACACCATTACAAAGGAAGTGTAGTTTGCGTTGCAGATTTAAATTTTACAACAAAAACATTAAATATTGTACCAAACCTTTATGTGGTAAAATATGTTACACAAACCACAAATTATGACCAGAAAATTAAAATTTTTTTGGAGCTGAAATGTTTATTTTACTTACTACTGAAAACCAAAAAAATCAAAATTAAAATTTTACAAATATTTGTATTTATCTTGTTTGATACATTAGATGTTTTTGGAAACTGATGAACTACAAGAGGACATTTTATCATTTATCAGACTGTATTCTGGTGTTTTTTTTAGTAATTTGTTGATCATATTGATTTGATAGAAGTTTATAAAAGTATCAAATATGATACAAAAGGCATTAAAGCGATAATCATATCCAACAGCTGTGATCCAGTTCATTTTAAAAGGCTTTTTGGCAAAGGGGAACATATTTAAATTGTTAAAACAAGTTCAAAAACTTCAGAAATTATTAAAAGTGTTATTTCAGTTTGTCATATTAGGACTTTCTGCCCTATAAAAACTGCTGTATTCTCAATCCTCTGCTCCCAAATCCACACCTTTTCACTCTCGTGGTGCCAACAACATTTGTGTATTTTCTCTTACTTTACGCACGTGAGTCGTGCGTGGTGGTGCGGAGAGCTAACGTGGGTTTTCTCGGTAGTTGTTGTCTCCCCACAGTGGGATTATCTGTCTTCTCTTTCAGCACTCCCTGAATTCCATTCCGCCTTTTACTTTTCCTGCAGCTCGCTCTCTCTCTCTCTCTCTCTCTCTCTCTCTCTCTCTCTCTCTCTCTCTCACCCTGCTCTGTCCCAGCTCAGGACTTCCCAGTGACTTTGCAAGACTGCGCTTTAGCTCACAACAAGTCCCAAGTTTCGGAGCGCACAAGCGAGGAAGACAAAACTTTTGGAGTTTCTTTTGCGTCGCAG